TGTTGTCCCCTTCTCCTCCTGCCTTCAATCTTTCCCAGTATCAGGGTCTTTTCCAAGGAGTCATTTCTTTGCATCAGGTGGCCAAAGTATTGGAGTTTCAGCCTCAGCATCAGTCCTTTCAATGAACATTCAGGACTCATTTCCTTTAGGATTGACTGGTTGGATCCCCTTGCAGTCCAAGGGACTCACAAGAGTCTTTTCCAACACCACAGTTCAAAAGCATCAATTCTTCAGCACTCAGCTTTCATTATAGTCCAACTCTCACATCCACACATGACTATAGGAAAAACCATAGCTTTGACTAGATGGACCTTTGTTGGCAAAGTAATGTATCTGCTTTTAAATATGTTGTCCAGGTTTGTCACATCTTTTCTTCCAAGGAGCAAGCATCTTTTAATTTCATGGCTGCAGTCACCATCTGCAGGGATTTTTGAGCTCCCCCAAAATAAAATCTGTCACTATTTCCACTGTTTCCCCATCTATTTGCCATGAAGTAAGTGAGAGGACTGGACGGCATGATCTTAGGTTTTTGAATGTTGAGTTTTAAGCCAAGTTTTTCACTTTCCTCTTTCACCTTCATCAAGAGGCTCTTTAGTTCTTCTTTACTTTCTGTCGTAAGGGTGGTGTCATCTGCATATCTGAGGATACTGATATTCCTCCTGGCAATCTTGATTCCAGCTTGTGCTTCATCCAGCCCGGCCTTTTGCATGATGTACTCTGCATATACATTAAATAAGCCGGGTGACAAATACTGTCTTGACGTACTCCTTTCCCAATTCTGAACCAGTCCATTGTTCCATGTCTGGTTCTAACTGTTGCTTCTTGACCTGATTTCTCAGGAGGCAGGTAAGGTGTTCTGGTATTCCCACCTCTTGAAGAATTTTCCACAGTTGTGATCTATGCAGTCATAGGCTTTGGTGTAATGAATAAAGCAGAAGTAGATGTTTTTCTGGTATTCTGATTTTTCAAACTGCCAGAACTGAGTTTGAGTGTCTCCTGCAGAGGTACGGGTCAGCAGGGTCCTGCTGCAGGGGCAGGGGCTCTGGGTGCAGCTACCTGGGTCACACAGCCTGTGGCATAAGCCCTCTTGGAGGAGGTCGCCATTAACCGCACCATAGAGCCACCGAGCAGAAAACCCACACACCGCAGAACAATTATACCAAAGAAATTCTTGCACTGTTAAGGAAGTTCTAGGACCCACAACAGATTTCCCAACTTGGGGATCTGGCAAAAGGACTGAGAACCCTCAGGGAATTTGACTTTGGAGGCCAGTGGGATTTGATTACAGAACTTACACAGGACTGGGGAGACAGACTCTTGGCGGGCACAAACAAAACCTTGTGTGTACCAGGACCCAGGAGAAAGGAGCAGTGATCCCACAAGAGACTGACCCAGACTTGCCTGTGAGTGTCCAGGAGTCTCTGGATGAGGCATGGGTTGGCGGTGGCCCACGGGCAGGGCCAGGGGCACTGAGTGAGGCAGGGGATGCATGGGACCTTTTGAAGGAGGTCGCCATTACCTTCATCACCTCCACCATAGTTTGGACTCAGGTCAAACAGGGAGGGAACACAGCCCCGCCCATCAACAGAAAATTCAATTAAAGATTTAGAACAAGACCCATCAGAACAAGACCCAGTTTCCTCCAGTCAGTCTCTCCCAACAGGAAGCTTCCATAAGCCTCTTATCCATATCAGTTAGAGGACATACAGAATGAAAACCATAGTCACTCTAGGTTCAGCCTTTCTCAAACCCTCTCAGGGTATCAAGGGGAGTGAGAAATTGATGACAGAGAAACAAACAGGAGCTAGCTCTAAATGCAGTACTGGGCTTTGGAGTGGCTTTCCAGCCTGACTCTGGAATGAGAATCAGTGATTGTTCAGGAAGGAGAGGGTCTAGGCAAGCTAGGAGAGAATAAAAAGACTGCTGAGTAGGGAGGAAAAAAGAAGAATGAAGAGTGTGTGTTTTTAAATTTATGCTTTTGGCTTAAAAATTCTCTTTTTGTAAATTATGACTTTTTTTTATCAGAAGATAATTATTTTACGATATTGTGCTGGCCTTTGCCAGCTTAAAAGTTCTTGATTCAAGTCTGGATTTTCCTTAGTAAGTCTCCTTGTTCCACAGAGCTCAATAAAGGCAACTAAGAACATTCCAAGCATTGATGATTGAAACACAATTTACATCTCAAGCATAATTCTGACAATACTGTACTGTACTGATATTTTCACAATCACAAGGTTATTTCTTGAGATAAGAATCAGGCCTTTATTTATTTTTTTAAATGTGTTTGGTATTAATAAAGTTGACAGAATGGTGAGGCAGATAGGAGAGGTAAGGGAGTAAGAGACTGATAATAAAGATTAATGGTCCTGCAGTAAATGTCCTATGTAGTACTTAATGATTAAAGGACAGCAAAAGTAACAAAGGATATGAAACAGAAGAATAATATGTTTAAAAATTCAGACATGCTAAAGGGGAGAAAGCAATTAAGGAGATGCTAAACTAAGCAGTGTAACTTAGGCAATTAGTGTTAGGTCATTGGCTTATGCTAAACAGGGTGTCTGATCCTGCTACCACACACCTTGGGAAAGTCTGTCTCTCGCTGCAAATGCCAGTGCAGCAACCTTGCCCTGCACTGTGATCTGTATGTACCACTAGCCCTGCAACGGGCAGAACAGCTTGAAGGGGCAACTTCAGCTCCTCAGTGATCAGCGATACCATCATTTTGCTTTTCTCTCCATATTAGAATAAAAGAAGGGAAAAATATAAGACAGCATTTCTTACGAGTAGAAGAAAAAGTTAATAATTGCTGTGAATACCTTGAAGCAGAACTCTTTTAAAAAGATGAAAAATTTTCTATTTTTCTCACTGTAATGCAATAATCCTCCCCCACGACCCCTCAAAAAAAGGGGAAGGGAAAAAAAGAGTAATGAAAAAAATAAAACCATGAGTGAAAACTGTGCTTGGAAACTGCAGAATTGTAACAGCTTTCTCTTGGTTAAATTGATTGGTCTAGTAACATTATAAAATGACTATTAGGATTCATTGTGCACAACAGAAAGTGCTGAAATGTCAGCAGACTACACAGCAAAAAGTAATGGGTTCTGAATCCCTGTTAGTCAAAAATGATTTTGTTTCAAATTAGAAATTGATTTTTTTGGGGAGGGAGGGGGGACACAAGCCCTTTGTAGACTTCCGGCTTCTGTAGCTGGGCCTGGGAGAGATTAACCTCCACAGCGGGCCTGGCCTGATGACACCTCTCTCAAAGTGCCTTTTCAATTGCAGCTTTCTAATGTTGCTGTGGTCTCAGTTAATAACACAAGTTATTTGTCCCTTTGCTATTACACTACATTTTTCTCATATTGCTATTTTATTTTAGTGCTGACACACAACACAAGTTTGTTGTCAGTTTAACAGAAGACTATGTTGAGCCTTGTGGTGTAACCGCCACAGCGATTTTGACTGGTTCTCACTCTCCAAAGTGCAGTGACTAAGAACAGAAGAAGCCAGAAGTAAGAATGTCCCATCTCTGAAGGATGACCAATAGACAAAGTAGACAAGATTCCATCTCAGATACAAAGTCTCCTCAGTTTTATTTCTGTTTCTGGTAGCAAAGTCTAAAAAGACAAGAGTTGTTCCAAGTTGTCCTAAAACAGTAGAGGTCTGCAGAACTTATGTCCTATGTCAAATGAAATGTATCTTTGCTCTTGTTTCAAACTGTGGATAGTCTCTATTGTGAAACTGGGACTAATTACCTTCTTTTAATGATCTGGGAGAGGACTAAATGGTTTCTAGATTAATCATAATTAAAACAAAAAACATGACAAAGCTGGCAGTTGATGAGCAAAGGCAGAGAGTATACCTAGAAGATCTTAGAAAAATGAAAAGTATTAGTTGCTCAGTGGTGCCTGACTCTTTGCAATCCCATGGACTGCAGTTCTTCTGTCCATGGAATTCTCTAGACTAGAGGACTGGAGTGGGTTGCCATTTCCTTTTCCAGGGGATCTTCCCAACCTAGGGATTGAACCCGGGTCTCCTGAATTGCAAGTAGATTCTTTACCATCTGAGCCACCAGGGAAGCCCCAGGAAGATCTCATAAAGCACTGTCCAATTCTCAAATAAATAAATGTGAGAGTGACTAGAGAGATTATGAAAAGTCAGTTGGTTAACACTAGCAGTGGACAGTGCTAGCTAGCCCAGGAAAAAGAGGTAAACAAAGAGGAAATCGAGGTAATGATTGTGAACAGGAAAGAAAGATGTCTGGGAAAGAGGAGTGAACAGAAGTGGGCTATGAGACCTTTTGGGGCCCTTTGCTTTCTGCACGTCTTCTGACCAATGAAGCTCAGACTTCTTCCATTCTGTCCCAGAGTCTTTCCTTTAATGATTCCAGGAGAGATTAAACCAAAAGTCACTTCAGAAACAACTAGGATATGAAATTAGATTTAGCTGCTTCACTTAATATTCCATATAGTTATTTATAACTGATTTCTCTTAAAATATCTACCACATATAAAATAGAAAGAATTACTGGTACTTTAAAGACTACTAGGCAATACAGGTTTAAGATTTACGAGGTTCTGTTTTCGCCACAATGACCTCTCTTCCACTCTCCTCATGCTTCCAGTTAATTGAGGATTAATTGCAGTTGTTAGAGTTTACTTTCCCAGCAAAGATTTATGTTCAATTTCTGGTCCTCTTTATTTGTTTTAAGTATTATTTTGTGTCTATGACCATATTTACTGCTGAATAATTCTTACAGTTAGCTGCTTGCAAAAAGAGGGACACATTAGATAGTTTCTCATGAGTCTTCTAAGAGGAACTGTTGATGCAATTCACTGATCCAGGACACGTGCTACCTGTGGCCTTGCAGGTGCATGCTGGTTTGTAACATGTTTAACTCTTGCTCCAGGATTACAGGAAACCATCTGGAGTTGATGGCTAGCGGCCACTAGCAACCTGACCCCCAAAGCTTCCCATTTTTCTACTGCAGATGCTGAGCTCACCTCTTTGGGGTCGACATGCATCTTTCTTCTGACTGGTCCACAGGGCATCATCTTCCATCTGCGATTGAAACCCAACTGTCTTCTTATCCCTTCTACTTCCTCCACTGTTAGTGGAGTCTTGGCACTTTTTGCTGGATGGTGATGTTCCAAGTGTCCAGTCATCACACTCTGACTTCAATAAACTGAAAAGAATAAACGTGAATGAGCTATAGAGAGCACAGAAGGGGGAATGGACCACAAAAAAGCATATAAATTCAGCATGAGTTGAAATGCAATTCATGGCAGTAGAAACTTTTTCTTATTTTTTATTGATGTATAATTTAAAAATTTTACTGAAGACCTATTCTATGTCCTGCCAAAACAATTCTGGAGATGTAGTTTTTATCCTCAAAAGTTTATATTTGGAGTTGGGGAAATAACGTCAGACTTATGAAACTGCTAATAAAGCCATAGACTATGACTAAGAACCAGAATATCTGTAGAAATAAAAAGTGTGCTAAAACAAGACTTGCATAACTAAAATGTTTCTGAGTACTAAAAATGAACATAAGGGATTAAAATATTACCAGTTTGCTTCAAAATGCATTTGTGTTTCTTGGTTTTCGATTGCTATGGTATTTATTATGTACTCAGAGTATATGAGGAATAGTACTATAGTGCATGTGGGAGAATTGGTCTCTGTCCTCATATAATTTCATTATAAAGTCAACAAGGCAAATATGGAGTAAAAGAAATTTTAATGAAAATAAACACACATGTATATGTTTTTCTCTCTAGTAAAACATGTTCCCACCATTAGCACAATTCCTCTTGGAACATTTCATTTTTTAGAGAGAAATGTTATAATGATGTGCATCTCTTACTATTCTACCAGTCCGTTCCTTCTAATTTGAAGCTCACCACAATCTCATGATACTTTCGTTTTGTCTTCCCTATGACCATAAACAATGTGAAAATTAAAATGAAGACAAAGAATTTATTTAAAGAATAATATTCTAAAAACTAGAATATTTAAACTTCCCAGAAGGAGAGGCAATCTTTAGACTAGAACAAGTTGATGGAGTATTACTAGATCCATTATGAATCCCACGAGGCCCTTGACCAGGATTCAAATCACATAAACCTGTCTGAGTCACTGAGCTTGTTTTGTGTAGATCAGAAATTTTAGTAATGTTTGCTCACACCATAATTTATTAATAAAAGTCAATGCATTATATAGCTTTATGTTCAGAGTGGTATAAAGAAACTAAAACTGTTAGCAGTATGGTTTTATATGGGCATAAAGCAGTGTATTAAATTTATGAGCTTAAATTTTTTTTTACCAGAACCCAAGGGTCACTTTTCCTTATTGACCTGCCAGTGGATGTGTATCTTAGCTCATAAAACTACTTGTCATGTGGCGGGAAGATAGGGAGAATAAAACTACATCATTGTGAATGTAAGATAAATTTACCTCAAGCCAAAAGTCCCAAATCCTGGCAAATTCAACAACTACATCTCTACTTCTTACAGAAAAGTTAACATCACCAAGACTACTGGATTCCAAGACATACATTCTCAGGCCACTCACACTTCCGATACTAGTCAGTGTTGATCATTCCCAATACTGAATCCTCCGTTCCATTTTACACAGAGGTTTGTCTGTACCTTCATTCCAAATCCCATCCTAGGAACCTGGATTCTAATTTCTCTTAAACAAAGATGACTATACAAAAATTTTCTTCTTTCATTTGCATTTACTTCCAAATTTACCCATCTAGTATTCCTCTATTAACATCTCTGAAGAGGGGGCTTCCTGGTGGTTCAGTGGTAAAGAATTTGCCTGTCAATGTAGGAGACACAGGTTTGATCCTTGATCCAGGAAGATTCTACATGCTGTGGAGCAACTAAGCCAGACCACCACAACTCCTGAGCCTGCATTCTGCAATGAGAAACCCGTGAGCCACAACTAGAGAGCAGTGCCTGCTTGTCGCAACTGGAGAAAAGCCTGTGCAGCAATGAAGACCTAGCACAGCCAAAAATAAAATTATAAAAAAAACCTCAAAAGAAAATCATACCTTTCACTCATACTCTTGGTACCATTTGACCCATGCCCTCTGTGACTATGCATGCCAATCATCTCCTTTTCTTATCACTTACAAACTTCTCTGTGCTTCCCAGGATTACAAATAAGACAGGATGTTTCATTAAAAATAAAAAAACCTAAATCCAAAAACTGTTCCCTTAAGTGGGAAAGTTATAATAATACTCAGTGTCAGAGAAAGGGTGGGCACAAGGATTTTATTATAGCACTGGGGAAACTGCAAATTGGGATAACCCTTTGGTGAGTGATTTGTCACTACAAGATAAAAGTGCACCTAACCTCTTACAACTGTACTTTTAAGAAGTTACCCCACAGAATTACATAAACAACAGTGGAATTAGAAAAATTTCTCACACTGTATACAAAAACTCCTAGAAGAAAACAGGCAGAATGATCTTTGACATAAACTGTAGCAATATTTTTTTTGGATCTGTCTCTTAAGGCAAAGAAAATAAAAATAAAAATAAGGAAGTGGGACCTAATTAAACTTATCCCTGGAGAAGGAAATGGCAACCCACTCCAGTATTCTTGCTTGCCCATGGAGAGAGGAGCCTGACGGGCTACGGTCCACGAGGTTGCAAAAGAGTCAGATGTGACTTAGTGACTAAACAACAACAGCAATTAAACTTAAAAGCTTTTGTATAGCAAAAGAAACCACTAAAGAAACGAAAGACAACCCACCAAGCGGGAGAAAGTTGGTGGGAATATAATCACTACTTTACAAATAACTTGGAATTCCCTTGTGGCTCCTTCAATGCAGGAGACCTGGGTTCGATCCCTGGGTTGGGAAGATCCCCCGGAAGAGGGAAAGGCTACCCATTCCAGTATTCTGGCCTGGAGAATTCCATGGACTGTATAGTCCATGGGGTCACAAAGAGTTGGACACGACTAAGCAACTTTCACTTCACTTCACTTTTAAATGAAACATAATCTATAAAAATTTTAAATCACTATGTCACATACCTTAACTAATACAATATTGTAAATCAACTATACCTCAAATAAAAAATAAATAAAATAAATGAAAAAAGAGAAAAAAGAATGAGGTAGTTCTCTACACGACTGTGAATAAACTTCATGACATAGTATACAGTTAGAAAAAAGCAATTTGCAATAACAGAAGGTATACTGTGATCTCATTTTTGTAAAAAAATATACAAAAATATTTTCTAAGTTCTGGATGGATAAATAACAAACCAGAGAAGTAGAAATAGAGTTACTGAGGGAAAGATTTCTATAATCTATATTTTTCTGAATACTTAAATTTCTTACAAAATGCATGTACGTTTGTAATTATAAAACAAAAACTTTCACAATCTTCCTTGTATTACTATAACCTCCTTCTTTGTCAAGCTTCTAGAAAATAGTTTTAATAGATGTGCCTACTAAAGCTATATTTTAGAGAACAAGCCTAGTGGCATTTTCTCTTTGAACCATCTTGCTTGTTACAAGACCACATGACAGCAACTGACTCCTTTCTTAAAACTTATTTCCCTTGGAGCTCATGACATACATCTTGATTGGTTTTCCAGTTCTAGGAGGCTGTTGCTCAGTTCTTTTATTGGGAACACTTCTACTTCCCTCTCTGAAATGCAGACATTCCTGATGATTCCGTCCTTGTCTTTTTTCTCTTCCCTCTTGTTACTTTCTGAGCGATCCTTGCCACATCATTGTATCTCCCTTCAATTACGACTTATAAATAGATTCATCTCGCCCACAGTGCTCTCCAAAACTGTTGACCTGTTCAAGAATCTGTCAAAAAGCTGTGAAGGGATGTCTTTTCCTACCTCTCCAAAAACCAACTCATGCTGAAGCAATAAATAATCTTTATCTTGAAACTAGTTCCTCTCGAGCAAGACCTGGTTCCTGTTCTCAACGTGATTTTATTGGTGGAGACAGACATGAAGACATATGCTTTTTTTGGGGGGGGCGGGGGTCAGGCTGTGCGGCACACACAACTTTCCCAATCAGAGATCAAACCCATGCCCCCTGCACTGGAAGTATGGAGTCTTAACTACTGGACTGACAGGGAAATGCAAAACAGATCATTTTTAATTAGGATATGATATGATACATGCTATGATTCAGGAATATGCATGGTGTTTGTTGTTGTTGTTGTTGTTGCTCAGTCGCCCAGTTGCATGACCCCATGTGACTCCACGGACTGCAGCATGCTATGCCTCCCTGTCCCTCACCATCTCCCAGAGTTTGCCCAAGTTCATGTTCACTGCACCAGTGATGTCATCCAGCCATCTCATCCTCTAATGCCCTCTTCTCCTGCCCTCAGTCTTTCCCATCATCAGGGACTTTTCCAATGAGTCATGTGCATCAGATGACCAAAATACTGGGGCTTCAGCTTTACCATCAGTCCTTCCAGTGAATATTTAGGGTTGATCTCCTTGAAGATTGACTGGTTTGATCTCGTTGCTGTCCAAGAGACTTTCAGGAGTCCTCTCCAGCACCATAGTTCGAAGGCATCAATTCTTTGATGTTCTGACTTCTTTATGGTCCAGCTTTCACAGCTGTATGTGACCACTGGGAAGACCATAGCCTTGACTATACGGACCTTTGTCAGCAGAGTAATGTCTCTGCTTTTCAACGCACTGTCTAGGTTTGTCATCTCTTTCCTGCCAAGAAGCAACTGTCTTCTGATTTCAAGGCTGCAGTCACCATCTGAAGTGATTTTGGATCCCAAGAAGAGGATATCTGTCACTACTTCCACCTTCTCTCCTATTTGTCATGCAGTAATGGGGCTGGATGCCATGATCTTAGTTTTTTTTTTTAATATTTACTCTCAAGCCGGCTCTTTCATTCTCCTCCTTCACCCTCATCAAGAGGTTCTTTAGTTCCTCTTCGCTTTCTGCCATTAGAGTGTTATCATCTGTATATTTGAAGTTGCTGATGTTTTTATCCACCTATCTTGATTCCAGCTTGTAACTCATCCAGCTTGGCATTTCTCATGATGTGCTCAGCGTATAGATTAAACCAACAGGGTGACAGCAGACAGCCCTGTCGTACTCCTTTCCTGATCTTGAACAAACCAATTGCTCCATACAAGAGTCTAACTGTCGCTTCTTGAAGAGAAACCTGGAGACAGGT